TGAAATAGTTGCAGAAATTGTCTGACAACCATTACTGTATTCTCCTGCTTGTGTGGCATGGTGCAGAGTCCTTTTGCCAGCAGTCACCCTCTTGACTCAAGGTATCACTTACCTCCTCAAAAAATTTGATGTAGGCATCAAATAATTATTTGAAAGAAATTTTTGGAATTTTTCTTAATCAATTTTCTACAGCCATCAAGAAATTAATTCGTCGACTTGAAAGTATTAAAACTAAAATAAATAGATATAATACATCTGAATTATTTACCCATAATGCATAAATACATACAGTCAACGACAAAATTATTCGTACACACATCAATTTTGTATATTTTTATCCATTTCTCAGAATCTAATGCCGGTATGTTGTTAGGTTTTTTATATGTTAATAAGCAGAAAAACGGAATATAAAACTCAATTTTCAGAGCAATTGGTTAAATACAGCACATTTGACAGGCGAATGATGCAAAATAGGAAAAGACTAAATTAATTGTACAGTATGAAAACTAGAAAAAAATTGAATAATTTTCCCAATATTAATAGTTGGCTCCCTGAGCCGCGCTAGTCGATCCTCCAGATCTACAAATCCACAATTCGCCCTTGCATGGAGTATTGCTGCCATATATGGTCTGGCGCCCCTTCTGTCTGCCTCGGGGTTCTTGATAGGCTCCAGAGGCGGATATGCAATATGGTTGGCCCTGCCCTGGCGTCTCGTCTACAGTCACTTTCTCACAGACGCGCCAGCGCCTCCCTCTGTCTGTTGTACAAATACTTTCATGGCAATTGCTCCGAGGAGCTGCATTCGCTGGTTCTCAGACATCATGAGTTCCAGCGCCCTACGAGGCTGGCATCCCGCTCTCACCCACTCACTGTCGAAACTCCTAAATGTAGCCGTCTCTTCTACTCTAATAGCTTCATATCTCGCACCTCTCGCCTGTGGAACTCCCTTCCCTTCTCCTGTTTCCCTGCGAGTTATAATCTCCAGCTATTCAAGTGTAATGTGTCAATCGACAACTGCAGTTGCTTTGATCTATCCACTACTCTCATCCTTTCTTCTATCACTCCTATCTGATCTTGCTATTTCCTGTAACCCCTTGCATCCTAGTGGCTTCCCGCCTTGCTTGGGGTGAAACGCTTAAAAAAAAAAAGTCAATAGCATGGTCTTTCATCTTAATAACTTGCTGCAATCGTTTTCTAAAGTTTTTGAGATTTGAACAAGACTTTACTGGGATTTTCTTCCATTCTTCCATGGTTACACGTTCTAATTCCTGAAGGCTTTTTGGTGACCGATGATTTATTTGAACTTTTAATTCTTGCCATAGAATCTCAGTAGGATTCAAATCAGGACTCATTGACGCCCATAGGAGAAGTGTACTATTCTTTTTCTGAAGTCACGCAGTCACTGATATAGACGTATGTTTGGGATCATTATGGTGCTGGAAAGTAAATCGCCGACCAAGATGAAGATTTTGCGCTGATAGTTGTAGATTTTCATCCAGAATTTTGAGATATTCTGCAGATTTCATTATTCCTCTCATTTGAATTAATTGTTCTGCCAACTTGAGCTAAAACCACACCAAAACATCATCGAACCGCTTCCATGTTTTAATGCTGCCACTGTGTTCTTTGGGAAGAAAGCCTCGCCTTTCTTGCGTGAAATCTTCTGTACATCATTATGTCCCAAAAAGCTCAATTTTTGTTTCATCACTCCATAGCACTTGTTCCCAAAAGCAATTTTCCTTTCTTTTCCAAGAACGTTTTGGCAAAAATAAAGCCAGCAACAATGCGACATGCTTTGTGAAGAGGAGTTTATCGTGACCGATTTTCCATTTCTACTTAAACAGCGTTGTATAGAGCGAATACTTACGCTGATACTCATTATATTTTGGCGATGTCTTTCAAAACAATTATTCACTTTATATTAATCTCGCGACACAGTTTTCGTGCAGTTATCGGTGATAATGTGGGTTTTCGTCCATGCCAAAGTAAATTCTCTGTCGTGCCACACTGTTTAAATTTCTTTATAACGGACTTTACATAAAAAATTTACATAAATTACGTAACAAAAGACAAAAATGTATTTCCTGATATATAGATAAATATATCTTTTTACTAACTAGTAAAATTGAAAATTTTAAATATTTTAAGTATTCTAATATTTTATTGAATTTTAAATACTTTGGCGTTATAGTTTTACTTACGAATATGTCCGATGAGGAAATAAGAAATAAATTTTAAATTTACTGTAGTTACCGTTCATATTTTCAAAAAATGTCGTATATGGTTGTCCTTATTTACAAAAGTCGACACGTTCATACACACACGCAGAAACGCACACACATACACACACACACATACACGCCCCACCCCCCAAACAAATACAAAAGTTTTTTTAAAATTCTGTGAGCCGCTGAATTTCAATTAAGCAGTAAGCATTTCCATTTACTATTAATAATTACAGTTTTTCTTTAATAACTATATCACTTAACCGCTAAAAATC